TTTCCGTAGTAATCACCTACAAGGTGGCCACACAACCGAGAAGTCAGGGAAAAAAATATTGGTCAGGGAAAAGTCAGGGAATTTCAATGTTGGTCAGGGAAAATGACTGAATCTTGCCCCAAATTGTTGTTTTCTAACTTTTGGTGGCATTTTCAATTTTTTGGGAAGCAAAAAGTTCCACTTAAAATACATTTAAAAGTCAGGGAATATGCGTAACAAGTCAGGGATAAGTCAGGGAATTTGAAAACTCCGATTGCGTGGCCATCCTGACCTACCGTCAATTCATTTTCCATATGAGCTCTCTAGCTTCATCTATTTTATTCACCAGGCTTATTTCGACTGTAAGGGGTTGAAGAGAGACTATTGATACTCTGGCAAAGATATTGGTTGGTGCGGAACTAAACGCCAAATGCCTGTCATCAAATACCCTTCATTTTCCAACTGCCTGTACCACTGCTCTACAGCTTTGGCAGTGTCTTTGCCTCTGCCATCATACAGAGCGTGGTTCTTCTCCGTATTCCGCCCGTGAACTGCACCCGCCAATGTCCGTACTGCATGACAGCCATCTTGGGGAAGGAGAAGTTGAGTGGCATGTCGTTTATCTGGTGGATCCCCTGTCAGTTTTGCAACGAGTTTTGGGTTTAGGCTTTAGGCCACTAGACTTACTGTAGCCGCTGTGGAGGAGCCTTACCTTAGGGAAGGTGCAGGTCTCCCTCAGATTGGGGTCGCGCTTGAAGACGGTCTGGTAGGCCTCCGGGGCGTACGTGCGCATGGCGGTGCAGCCGCCGCCCGGGATGTTGAAGACGAAGGCGTTCTCTTTCCACTGGTTGTTGTTCCGCACGTCCAGCTTGAGGTAAATCTGCCGGCAGCAGGTATACGGCTGTTGCTGTTACGCGTCTCTTTCCCCCCGGCCCGGCTCCGAGCTGCGCCCCCCGCTTACCCAGAACGAGTCGTTGCCAGGCAGGTGGAACGTTATGTTGCCCGTCATCCTCTGCAGCTCGGTCTGCACCTGCGCCGGGTTGCGGAAGTGCGACGGCCGCACGTAGATCTTCATAGAGCCGTCGGACGTGTCGCGGGCCTGGTCGCACTGGTAGCTCCTGTCGAGCAGCACCACGAAGGGGCCCTGAGCAGGACGGGAGGGCGTGTATGCACAGGGGGAG